AATCTGCTTCGTACAGTATCCGATGGGGTCACCGTCTAGCAGGGATGGAGTCACCTACCATTCACCCTTTTGGTGAAGGGCGTTGTCGAAGGTGTTCGAAGGAAGTTAGCGAGACCCGTTCAGCCCAAGCAGCCTTTGACGCATGACTCTATTGCTGATATTACCTTAAACTTGAACTCTGCATCTGCATTTTTAGCAGATATTCGCTGTTTGTTTATTCTTTTTGTAGGATATACATAGGATACATAGGATATATATAGTTTTGAGCATTAGAGTGCGGGATGTTTCCATTTTTTAAGATTTCATGAAGGTTTATCTGATTAAGCGTAAGAACGGCCAGTACAAGGATGGGCACGTTTCGGTAATAGCTAGGTCTGGGAAACCTACCTGTCCAGTGGGGATAACTGAGAGGATATTGTCTCTGCTGCCTGATTCCAGTGGTTCTAGTTGTCCTATTGTTCGCAGGATCGTTAATTCTAGGCATTCTAAGGAGCGATTTTATGAGTCTCTTGGGATAAGTTATTCCACAGCTTATGCTAGTTTTAAGTCCTACATTTCGCCCTTTGTTTCTGTTGCAAGTTTGTATGGTACACATAGTATTNTTCTAAGGAGCGATTTTATGAGTCTCTTGGGATAAGTTATTCCACAGCTTATGCTAGTTTTAAGTCCTACATTTCGCCCTTTGTTTCTGTTGCAAGTTTGTATGGTACACATAGTATTAGAACCGGCGGGGCTAACGATCCGGGGTTCAGGTCTCTTGATTCCTTAATGAAAGACAGGCTTGTTGGCTGGAAGAATCCGAGGTGCCAGTTTCGTTACCTTGAATCTGTACCAGAGGAGCTTATTGAGATTACTCGGTCGATGAACATTTAGTTCGTTATTAGGGGTCCAGTAGGGGGACCCGGCAGTCGTAGCCTACTTTGGTTCCTACCCAGATTTTTTGCGCCAATCTTGGTGAGATTTTTTCTGGCCTCCGTGTGTCCGTTGTTTTTGCTAGCCTTTATTACTTTTTGTTGCACGAGCTGGGGTATCCAACCCCCGGGGAGTGTTATATTTGTTTGTATTTGAGTCTGTAATTAAAGACAGTGCTGGTTATCTCGGCACACTGCATTATTCTCCATATCGTTGTTGTATCTTGTTGTTTCAATGGTACGGTTAATAGCACAGA